CTGACAGTTACTTCTGGTTAATTATCCAAAGTTAATGCTTTCTGACAGTTACTTCTGGTTAATTATCCAAAGTTCATGCTTTCTCAATGGCTACTTTTGCAATTATGCTTTTTCAAATGATGCCACTACTTAATAATACTAGAGCATGTTTCACTAAGCTTAGAAGACGTAAAAGTTAGTGTCAAGTGACTTTTTTGTTTTTTAAATAACAAACGTTATTTATTTGAAAGTAACTCTTACCCTACTATCAATATAAATAACTTATCAAAGTGCAATCTGCTCATCCAGCATCAATTCATCCAAAATGATAGGGTGTGTATTTCTTATCAATACACCTTTTTGGGTGCAATGTGCAGATTAAAATATTTTTTGGATCATTGTATTTATCGAGCATACTTCTCCATAAAACCAGGTAAAAATGATTCTCTAATTGTCCGAAAGTATAGAAAACCAGATTCTTTAGAATTCTGATTCTTCTCCTACTTTAGTAATCTTATTAAGAGACCATGTGCAGGCTCTTCCAAAAGTGTAGTTCAGTTTTCACTTTCCGTAATATGAATCAGGACCAAAAAAATCACTCTTATTGAAAATAGTATAGCCATCTAACCTCAATGGAACCAATATTTGTCGCACCAATTGCTGCCAATGCTATGAAACCTTCTCGCCACTGGCCTTCAAGAACAACCTGGTCATCGTAATGATTTGTTAGGACAACATTCATAGATACAGAATTCCAGGTGAGAGAGGACTCAATTATGGACCAATTGTTATTTCCAGCTAAAATTCCATTCAACAGATTCAAATGACAGAAGGAGCACAACATTACTTCATTTGCACCTACTTGAGGCGATTGAGATGGAGTTATACTAAACTCGTATGAAGAAATGCTGGCCAGTTAAATACGGAAATCAGTTTATATCCTATGCTTTCTTGTCTCTGAGGTGTGTTAAGTTCACGATTTTGCACATCAAAGCATTGCAAGTAACATTAGTACTTGTAACCAGAAAAACCAAATCACATGATGACATCAAGAAGACATGCAAGGAAGAGTCAAAATACTAATAAAGTCAAATTTAGAGGTAAATGATAGATTACTTGATTTTGGCATGATCCTGCAGTTAGAAATTAAGATTCTGAGCAGTTGGAGTGATCTGAATTCATCAAATGTATGCAATTCATGAAACCAGGAAACTCACTAGGAAGTGCACAAGATACACAGCATTAACCTTTTGTGAACTAATATTTTAATTTTTAAGTCCAGGTCCATTCGTCAGAAGACTTATTCTACATTATACACTGTGATCTGAACAAGTCCTAGTGACGAGACAGGGGTGCATCCAAAAGTACAAGTAACTCAATCTACTCAGCTATGTGGAAAAACTAAAAAGTTTCTTAGAGGTATTACCGCATAAGGCCCCTAAATGATCGCTCAGGACGACATTTTATTTAAAAATTAAAAACATGGAAAGCAAAATTGTAACAAAAGGCGTCTTCTAGGGTAAGGAAAATTTTAAGAGTTTTTATGACCAAGGATCAAAAGAATCATAGCAATTAGTCTTTGAACTGTTGCAGACACGATATCTATTTCGCTTTTTGACTCCGTGCATATAAATTAGCATAGTGATAGGAGAGGATTAGATCTACTTACAGAATGATGATATACACCAACACAGAGAGGTAAAACAAAGAGAATGACAAGTCAGGTGGTTGGGACATGTGTCGATATCATCTCATTCATAAGAGAAATGATGGCATGTACACTGGGATATTGATTGGAGGGGATTAGATCTACTTATGATGATATACACCAATACGTAGCAGTGAAGCAAAGTGAGAATAAATGAAGTGTATTACAAGTCAGTTGGTTGGGACATGCGTACAGATCATCTCATTTCATAAGAGCAATATAACGTCCGTACAATAAATTATAAGAGGAAGAAGTTGAATAATTTACATGACTTGATGTGGTTGTAAATATTTGATTCCATTAGATCTATTAGTCGATGTAGTGGTGAATCAAATAGAGTGGTGAAAAGGACTTCATGTAGCTGGGGGAATGAGGTTTGTTATCCTGGTTGCACCAAATTGAAACTTAGAATTCAAAGTGGCTCCATCAAATATTTTATGCTCCCAAGTCCTCACAAGTATTTCAAAGAAAAAAAAAAACTAATTTACTTTGATACTTAATGCAGTCACCACATGCACAGATACCACTAACAAAAGCATTCGCCACTATGACTGTCAGCATCTGTCCAGGTCGCATTGCTTAGTAGAATAGCAACTATATTAAAGCATAGAAATGTGTTATTGGCCCGTGAGTCAAGGGTTACCCTTTCGTTTTCAATGTACAGGTTTCTGATAGTTCTTGCAGCACGCTCATTCATTGGGAAAAGATGACCTGCCAAGCAGGAAGGAAAATAAGAATAGAATCAAGAAAATTGCAAGAAAAAAATAATAACAACACAAAAATTGAATGTGACATCAATCAAAACTATTCTCAATCAATTTGCAATGTCTTTTAAGATGATCATAATTTTTCACCTTGAATACACTTTCAGTGTTGCATCAAGAACTTAATGTTGCTGGAGTACTTATGTTTTCATATAACTGAGCTTATGAATGAAGTATTTCTTAATTTTAATTTATACAAATCCTACAGGACTTTTGATATCGAAATTTTGTTGATTCCAAATGAATATCATAACATGATAACCTTTTAATCTCTGTTGATTCTTAAGAATACCAAAAACGTAGGCATCAAACTCATTGATTCGCGCACAAAAAAAGAGTAGGTGGCAGAGCGATAAATAATTATGAACAAAAATAACAATCTAAAAACACGTTCATTCACATGAATTTAGGAAGCAAATATTCATTGATTCTTCACAAAGAATACCAAATTCTTGATCTTGAACACAAAATTGTTAATTCCAATGACACCAATTTAGGACCGATAAATTGGATAAAATATTAGTAATTAATATTTTATTTCAATTGTAAAAACAACTCTTCTTCCATTAAGGCTACAGTCCTTATTTATAACAAGTAAAAAACCTAATTAACGACTAATTTTAATTAATGACTAATCCTAATTAACAACTAACATCTAAATAATAACAAAATTAAAAGTCCTAATCAGAATTGAATTCCAAATTTATTTAATAAAGAAAATAGTAACAAAAAAAATAATTTAAAACTCAAATTTCATCAAATTTTCTGATGAAAATAATCTAATACAGGTAAATATAAGATGTGTAAAAGATGAACTTTCTTGACATGCAATCCCTTCATCTATAGAACCAGAAAGGGAGAAGGAATCCCAATGCTGAAATGAAATCTTCTGAATTTGAAGGACAACAAATAACTCTATGAGCTACCCTATCAATTTTCATAGTGCCCAATAACAACCAATAAAATAAAGAAGTCAAAAATTAAGGGTATTTTTGGGAGTTGTTTATAAATGGGTTTAATGCTGGTTTGGGATAGATTATTTGAAGTGAAAAAATGATTTTTTTTTATTTTTTATTATTATTATTTTTTTTTTTTTGAAAATGTAATTAAAAGGTAGTGAAAAGCAATGGGGCCATGCAAAATTATTTTATCGGAATAATATAAAGTCAAAAATGAGTTTGATGAAAAATTATTTCCAAAAAAGCTGTGCCAAACAAATCCTAAATTATAAATAGATAGAAAATGAGTGATAGATAAATGGTTAGTACTTCAAGGTCCCAGAAATTGTGGGTATAAAAAGTGGTTTGACTGATTATAGATAGTTTATACATTAGCCAAACATGGGCTAAATATCTGTTTCTTCTAGCAGACAGTGATCATGTGCAAGATTGAGCAGTTATAAAGTGTCCCACAAAAAGAATAATAGTCAGAGAATGAAATCATAAACAACAATTAATCAATGGCCAAATCAAACAAATATATAGCTACCTGTAAAATGACGACGAACAAGAACGTTCCAATCAACTGGAGAGTGTACCCGATGATAGTCACCGGGCTTCAAGTAAATAACGCAGTAAAAGAGGCCTTTCATTGGGCTGCATTCAAATTAAACTGATAACTTAATGTTGCATTTCATTTGTTCTCTTTCTGTTGCAATATCATTTTTGTTTGTTTTCCAGTATACATGCTTATGTAGAGGAAAATTCTCAAAAGCCAACAGATGAGGTTTAACTTCTTCTTTTAGACAATCGTGGTTAGGAACAAACCGATTATATATGCTCCCAAAGATTCTTGTAAGCATCTATCACTAAATATTGTTGTTTACATAATTTATATGAAAAAAATTATCCCCTCTTCAACAACTTAAGCTTTAGATGAAGTGGTTCAATATTTCTTTTTAGAGGATGTGTTTAAACACATTACAAAAAGAAGTGTCAAGTCTTTATGTTACTGAAGTTGTGCACGTGTCAGGTCTTTTAATTGAAAAAAAATAAATAAAAATAAAAATGATTTGAACTGCATGTGATGGATTGCATTGAAGACAATTTTCAAGAAAATAAACTTGTCCCTGTCTAACAGTTAAGCTTTTAGATGAGGTAGTTCGTCGAATATAAATACAAATAGTTGCAACAAAAACATTTAAACTTTACCTTGCCATCTCTCTAACCTTAGGAGATGCGAGAGATATTCTCCACCATGACCTTTTTGTCTCATCTCTCAAAGTGTTCTCTTCCTCACCATTTTCTTCTCTTGCATACTCTGCAGTAATCATCGGAAGAAACGAGCTTGCACCAAGAAGGGAAGAAGCCGAATAAGAAAATCCTTTCACTTGCTCAATCATGGCCCCTGCTCCTCCCAATTCACCAAATCTCAAAACAATGCCATCTACAGGACTGACCTATGACGACAATAAATAAAATACACCAAGGTCAAATTAATTTTGACCTTGCAGTAGAGTGAAAAGTATATAAAACATATCTCCAAGAATCCCGTTACCATTTACCAGACAGTAAGGGTCAGAATCAATAGTTCTTGATCCTTCTTTCAATGTGTGAACGAAAAACTCCCGTAGAGATGCATATTCTTCCAAAGGCAGACCAACTTCTTCTAAGTCTATAATATAAAAATATGAAGATTTCAGAAAATTATCATCCATGAACAACCATAAAAGGATCAACTATTCATTGATTATATTGAAAAATAAGAAATCTACTAGAGTGGAATGCTCGAGCCCATGCTTTGTACATGTACGGTCTCAGCCAAATGGGTAATTCCTGGTAAAAAATAAAAAATAAAAAAATTTAATAAAATTATTTTAGCTTGTTTATATAATTCAATCATATGTTTGCTAATTTTAATGTCAATCACTCACCACACTTGTCAAGGAACCCCACAATCTTGAAATGGACCGTAGTGGCAGCAATCTCAAGAAGCTGGCCTATTAGTAATGACTGAGTTAAGCAAAGAAGTCTGAATTAAGAAACTTATGATAACTTGTATCATTTACATGTGAAACATAAAGTTACTTTAACATCAGGGTGGAACTCCAATTCAACTCCTTTTTCCCTTGCCTCTTCAATCTATTAGAGAAGATACAACAATCAGTAAGAATATGCATATAGACAATAAGCATGTATTGGTAAGAAAGATATATTTCAGACAGAGTGACAGTTATTGATAATATGATATGTTCAAACAAAAGTTCCAAATCAACAATGCAGCAAATGAAACCAAAATGAGACTAAATATAATGTAAGATGCTAAGGCAAAGCCTCAGAAGGAACTTCAAGATTACAACAGAAAACATGTCAGGCCTCCAGGTATAAAGAACACTCATTTATCTGGCTGAACTTCCTAGGAACAATCACAGCAGTGATTTCCAGTATGCCTAACTGGACTATAATCAGAAGGAATAGAAAATAATTAGAAGATAGATACAGTTCTCAAGCTAAGATACCAACGGTGAAAAATTGGTCAAATATTCCAAGCAGATATTCTCCAGTAGAGGACAAAGGAAGGTGACCTTGGTAGTTAATCAAGTATGTTTTATGAGCGAAAATCCCAAGTTTTCACTTATTTTTTGTTATAAAACACGCATAAACCAAACACATAGCTGAATCACAATTATAATTTGGAACAAATTTAAAGCCATTAGTAAATGAAAATGAAAGCTTCAACTGGAAAGGTAGGTACAGAACATCTAGGAAAACCAATTTTACAAAATTTTATTGTTCTGAGTGGAATAAATTATTAGGCAAGATATGGAGAAATGGGAATAAGATGTTCTACTCCCACTCATCTAATAGACATATTGTTTGCAGAAAAAAGATAACAGAAGACTAATTACAACTTAAAGTAGACCTCTTCTTTTCTCTTTCTTTACTCCGCACACCAACTAAATACATCAATGGACTTGAAGCTAAACAAACATGTCAGAGCTTTTATCCCCTTCGTTGTGGTTGTAGAAAAAGCAATTCAAATAGAGTCCAGATCCCATTAACTATGAACTAGTGTAAAGGCATCTATACAATCCATGACCGTGTGTGATGAGTGAAAATTCATTAAAATGAATCCCATGAAACCCATCCAGCAGGTTTTACTGATCACAAGGACATAAGGCACGAGAAGTAATAAAGATATTGTGTGAAACTAGCGTATTCCTTGGGATCACATTTTCTTCTACAGAACACAAAATGGTAATAAGATAAGCATTGCATCCCATATTGAGTAATATGCAAATAAAACTACCTTCTTATCTTCATATATATGGCGTGCATGGAGAGCACCAAGCATAAGTATAGTTGCCACAGTCGCCCCAGGCACCAAGAAAGAATTCCCTGCAGAGAAATCAACTGCAAGCTTCACTACTCGTTCCTTTGCCTTTCAAAAATACTCCACATTGGTAAAGTAATAACAGCAATGCCGGCAGCCCCTTAACACTTGGCATACATTATTTTCTTTATTTTTCTTGTCTCCCCTTCATCCTTCATACTCAATGTAAATAGAGAATCTACTTTGCAATAAACCGTGGCAAAATAAAGCAAAAAGATTATCAAATTGCAACAGATTAGTCAAATATAACAGCAATGCGTAATTATTTTGAGCATAAGTTGCAACAAATAACAAGAAATTGTTCGATTAAAAGAAATATGAACACAGTTTATCTTGGTGCTTGGATCTTCCATACAGTTTTAAAACAAAATAATCGAGCCAAAAGTAACATACGCAGTACTCGGACTAACTGTTTTCCCTAATATATTTAAGTGGAGCAGTCGAGTTGCACCTTCTGAGCGACTGCCATTGCTACCGCTAGCGCCGCCGCCGCCG